GCAGAAAACTTATGAGATATCCATTCATTTAGTCATTTTGGGCTCAGAATGAACTTCGCTACTACGCAGACCTTCGCCCTGCTTCCTCACTAAATATAACCGCAGGCCTCTTAGGTTTACTACTCCTATCTGCAATTGTTCCCAGCTCTCGAACGCGTCTTATAATCGAATGTACAGTCTGCCTTGTTACGCTGAATCGTCTGCAGATGCATCGTGCCAAAATGCTTGTAAATGCGAAGTGACGATTTATTCACGGGGTAATTACGCTTACATTATTTCTAAAATCTACCAAAATTTTAGTGTCATAAGGAAGGTGATAATGTAGTCTACCTTGTGAAATAGAAGAAAGCGAACGAATTGCCATGCCCTCAGAAAAAATTCGCTATGAGCGTCAGCGCGCGCTGTAATTATAATTTTGGCCCACCCTGTAGTAGTGAAGTAGTGACTAATTAATCAAAAGTAATAAAATAAGAGTTCAAGAGTCTTTCATCTGCTTTCTACAAGAGAATATCAATAACGAGGGTAGCAAAAACTGATTTGTGCTAGATTATGGTGAGGGATAGGAAGCCGGAATAAGGCTCTTGACAATATTAAGTAATGGGCGATTGCAGCACTAAAAAGTGCCAGTGCATATCCCTCTCGGGATTTAACCCAGTCGAGCATTTTACAGTAAATAAAATCATAAGAAAGTGGTACTTAAAAGACACTAAAAAGCAGAACTCGATAAGGGACCAAGAAGAGTTAGCAAAAATGACCCTGGTGGTTCGATATTTTGAAACTAAAGAGAATGAAGAAAATCGAGTAAAACTCACACCACGATGAAGACCATCAATTTGAATTCGCCTCCTGGTGTAGGGAAAAACGCCAAGATTGATAACGAGACGAAAAACGTCAATGGAAGACGGACAAGAGCGAGAAGAACAGAACGTTGATGCAGATATGGTAGTACTATTGCCTTCAAACAAAAATTAAACAGATGCCGAAAAAAACATTTTTTTTGAGCCTGTAAGAGAACGCAATTCCTGCCTACCTGTAAAGCTTCCATCGATGGATTATAAACCCCGTAGGCCATCTCAAACACCACCAGACATAAAAATACGCGTTCGAAACGAGTGGCGGTCCAGTCGCTTTGTGCATATGGCAGTTCACGTATGCTAAACGACATGAGAACGCGACGTCAGGGCTTTTCGAAAGGTAAATGATGAGGAATTGGAAAATTGCAACTCACGCTACAACGAAAACCAGAAAGGCTATAGTCATAGACAGCAACAACAGCCTTGAATTCCTCATCCTCTTCGCGAGCGAAGAAAACAGCAGTAATCCGGCTAAATACGATGCAACAAATGAGGCGTAGATGACACCCAAGGCATAGACGCTGCAAACGAATCGCTAAGCAAATAATATACAATTTTCAAGTAACATTTATCACAAAAAGTGATAGATGTAACGAATTCGTCGATGAAATTTTTTCCGGAACACGCCACACTAGTCTTTCAATCAGACTCACAATAGCTCTTGATGCTGTCAGTTACCAAGTTATCTCCCTCCTTCTCATGACATGCGCTTTGAAATAAGAGAGAGAAAAATTGTCTTTTTGCTTTCCTCTTTGTTACACAAAGGAAAATTGTTTCACCACTTCGTACCCAGCTTGAGAATTAAGAATTTCAATAATTATCTGTGGAATGGCAATTACCTGCGGTTAAGACTTCAGAGCAAAAGGCTTACATTAGTAGGAAGCTCGGATTTAGGACAAGGACTCTTCGGTGGCTACTCTTGAGCTGATACACTACTCCCTTCAACATTTTTCCTATCCTTTTATTTTCACAAATTATAGCCACCTTTTTATGCCGCTGTGCTCAGCTCGAATGAAGAGTGGGGCCCACACAAAAACGAACATCTGAGAAGCCATCTCAGCGCAGCAGGACGTCACACTTATCACGAATGCCATCGGATTGGAGCGTATCACCTGAAGAATCAAATCAAGTTGAAAATATAGGGAGTGAAGACTAAATAAATGTGCTTGTTGAGTCCAAAACAGCAAGTGAGTACCGCAAATCGAACCCTAACAACTGCTTAAGACGCATTTTGGAACATATCACTGGGCGTTTTTAAAGTGAAGATTAGAACACATCTATGCATGAATAAGAGTACAAGAAGACGATTAGAGACGCAGAAGACACTGTTCTATTTTTCTTGTATCAAACATAACTCTTTTGATAAGTGTAATAAGGCCTAATTTAAGAACGTACCGCCAAAGCTTTCCCAACCACGTTTTTGAACGGCAATGGCGCATCCACTGAGCGATTTTCTTGCCATTGTGATGTGATGAAAGCTCCGCCTTCAATTAATCACAATTTTTTCAGAAAAGATATTTCCGCACGTGGAGCACTCACCAATTACCAATGACGCAATGGATAGAATATACGGCAATACGATCACTTTCGATATACCGACAACTATATGTGAAGTGATGCCAGCTGTGACTGCTAAAAAGCCGGCGCCTAAGGAAAGCATCAAGAAGGTTGACTGAATCCATTCGGGAGGAAAATCAAATGCAATCTGATGCTCATCCACATACCTATAAGAGCTAATCTTTATAAACGAAATAAGGATACAACAAATAAGGATGTAAGCAAAGCGTTGATTTATGAGTGAACTTCCATTCATGATCAGTGATACCATGCAAATTTTACCAGTACAAGTTTATTAAGCCACTGATTGCAGACTGATTTATGCTCGCTAGGAGGTGTAGTATCAACTTTACAAGCTCGAACAGAGGGAAGGATTGAGTTCTTCGGTTCGAGTCCCTTCGAACCCAGTAATTAACGAAATAAATTCTTTTTGAAGATTCAAAACAAACAAAAGTTTGCCATAACACCAGAGTAAACAAAACATTCCTGCACCTACCACTGGTGGAACGGACTGGTGACAAGAGCCGCAAAAAGACCATCGAGTATACGACCAATAAAGAGAACCACAAATGATGTACTAAGTTTACAGCCACAGCCAAACACTCCAGCTGTGATACACAAAAGACAAAGGGCACGACGACCTTAACAAGAGCAACGCTCAAAACTAGACCGAAACAATTATGAGAGCGCTCCACTCACCGTATCTTGCCGAAAGATGTACGCAATAGAAACTGAAGACCATGTTAGAAATGAGGCCAACCACGTACAGAACAGCGATTTGCGAAGGCAAGTAGTGGAGATCATAGAAAAACGCATAGAGGTACGGAGCCTGAACGCACAGCTTCTCTATACAAAGCTTTCTATTCCAATTCTTTCCTTTATAGCTCTTCAGGAGCGTGAATGAGACAAATGCACCTCTAATAGCGGCTTGGTTCAGAAATGTCCACGTAACAAACTCTTTGGGAAGATAAAAAACACTGACTATCGGCAGGTCCCAGAAATACAAATGCTTGGCACTAGCCAGTGAAGGATCTACCAAGCCAAAAATTGTGAATGGTGTTTACTCTTCGTAATCTTATTGAACAACCAAAGACCTCTTGTTTCATTCGAAATGTCTCTTGGCTGATAGGGGGAGGTCTCCGAAGTGTCCCATTTTTGATAGCAAATTTTCAATCTGAGATTTTTCATGCAGAAACGTCTTTTCTAGCTTTGTCTTTTCAATAAGGTCCCCGCCTACACCTCCCCATGAAAAAAAATATATTTCCGCAACTGAAAAACCGCAAAAAAGAATAGAATCGCTATAACCAACTATGAAGGACCGAAAATAGATATGGATGGATAGGTTATATTGGCATGCACAAGAATGGGATCAAAAGGGAAAACAAGTCTAACGGAACATCTATAGTTATGTGAATTACAGAAACACACATAAGTGAAGAAAATGAAAATGAATTATATAGAAGCAGATGGGAAACATACCTGTAAACTTTCTGAGAAGAGGACTACCAAATATGGAAAGAGAAAACGTCGTTGCAGTCCACGAAATTCTGCATTGTTCTCAGCAGCATCCCTTGGGTGAGTTTTTCGCTTTAAATTCGCCACTAATATACTGGCTCCAGCACATAATCCACACCAAATCCAAGCGATCACATGCACGTCGAACATCAATGGACCTGCCACTGGAATCAACTAACTTTTTTTTCAGTTTGAAGAACAAATACTGATTTCTGTAACAGACGATTGCTACTGGAGGGCAAAAAATGATTACAAAGCATTACAACGGGGTGAAGAAACAAAGCATTCAACCTCAAACAGAACTCAAATTATCGGTATCAATACATCCAATGCAGCCCTCCTTCATGAACTGTACCACTGCCAGCTGAAGGAAGATATGTGGGTTCGGACGTATAAAAAGGAAACGCGGTGCCAGGGAAACAGTCAGAAACACAGAAAATTCATGTACTATGGGAGACCAGCCTTATTGTTCAGAATTTAGCACCTTAATTATAAAATTCATATCTAAAGCATGAGAGGAAGCAATAAATAAGGAACAAAACATATCAAAGTTATGCTGTGATATGGCAGACTACAATCATAATAATAAATGATTAGTGTACGTAGCTATGGATCCTTGGAGGGCGAGGGTCAAAATGGCGGTCACCCGCACGCACTCGCCCCAATACTCATGGTCAGAATTAAGGCGGCATAACCGTAATGAGGACTAGACTTTGCGAACTTACGGGACCAACTAGATGGATCGGCCATTTGATGACTCTCCTAGTGCAGAAACAGTATACATATCGCATAAGTAGTTATTCGATAACGTTTAATATAAAGGGTTCTACAGCTCGGATTAGCATAATGCAACAGTGTTTAACAACTATGTCACTGCGCACATCCTAGCACTAAGTAAACAAGGAAAAGCTAAATCTGACAAACATACTGCATCGCCTAAGAAAACACCATGAGGGATCTGAATAGAAGTTGTATCGATCATCAGGATGGGAAGAGGTAGTCGAAAGAACGGTCGAAAAGGTGAAACCAGAGATATAATACAGAAAGGAACACCTGGTGAAACACTTTTGGAGAACAACGAATATTCTAGGTGAAGCAGAGAATCAGACCATTCAATCAGGAAATAGGTCACAGAGTTCGAATCGCAATTTCGGCCCCGTCAAATGTGGGAATGTGAATTCTACACTTCCCTTCGCCAAAGAAAAAGGACATGCATTTTTGGCTATAACCGTAGACTTGCAAAGGTTGAGCGTGGTTTAAAGTGGAAGCTTCGACAACATGAGGATGGAATCTCATATCAAGTGCTGCAGTTTGGTGTATGGTGATGAAAACTTGTACCATTTCCGAAAAACCGAAAGAAAAAAACCGAAATTGAAGAAAGATGAATCCAAGGATTTCAAGCGAGAAGCAATAATCGCAGCATGAGGCTTTGGGGAACAAACCCCAAAGAATGAGCCGCTCATGGACAAATAGCTTAGTTCATTAGAAAGTGATCTATTACCTTTAAAGAGTACGAGCTATGAATGCGAACATTCATGAATTAAAATCGAGTAAAAGACGGATCGAAAGTGTTCTAGTACCAATTTGCCAACCAGTTATTGAAATGAATGCCTGCCAAAAAAAAAACCCTGACTTCCTTTTTGTCCCTTAATCCTCCCAGCCCGCAGTTGCGTTGTTGTTAGGAGAAACCATCCATATGATATGACATCCATTTAGCGGCAATCCCAAAAGTGGAGCGAAAAGTGGCCAACACACTTCAACTGCGAAAACGAAAGAAATGCCAAGTCAGTTGGTCACAAATAGAGAGTAATAGGTAGTCCTGGTCATTTAATAACTTTCACGCAAAAGTTTAAGAAGAACTATAAAATTAAACGCCACTTGTTTTTGGGAGGAGAGCGCACACCAGTTCTTCATGCAAAAGGATGAAAGACCACAGCGCTGAATGAAAGATAGGAAAATGATGATGAGGAAAGATAAATAATGAACTACTAACGAGAAAGTGACTTTCAAAAAAGGTATTTGAAGAGAAGATCAAGTGTAAGACCACATCCCACTGAACGAACCAGAAATTTCTTGAGCACAAAGTATTTGTCAGTCTGTAGAAAGCGAAAGAAAAACATGAATTACGTCGAAAGTGGAAATAAACAGCACGAATGAAGATTACTTTGAGCACGGGTTGAGTTAATGAAACACTAAAGTCAAGTAGGAAAAAATAAAAGGTACTCCTGGGTAAACCAACTAAAAAACACAGCATCAATTACTAAGCTAAAGTTTTATTACTATTCACAGCAAAAATGTTGAAGTCCCGTACAGTTCTAAACCCTAATCCAACGGAAAAACTAAACAATACACTGATGAGAAGGGTGGCGGTAATTCTCCCCGATTTCCCACGTCAGTTTTCCACGGCGGCTACCGTATCCGCTTCCGCTGAGATTTTAAACCTTCCCCTTCTTGGCGCGCGACTGCACGATATCGAGTGCGGCGAGCGCGACGCGATTTTCGGGGAGAAATGCCTTCACCCTAACGAGACATATAATATTCATGATACGGCTCCAGATTACTACTTCATATATTTCCAGATAATGCGACTGATTATGAGGAATAATACAATTGTTGCACATAAATGGTGAGCTCTAACTAACAAGGTAATAAACAGACAAATTTTACTAATAAACAGAGGCAAACTTTTAATGCTTCACACCAAGCAGTGGCATAAAAAGAAAAGTGAAAACAAAGCAGACTCGTCGTCAAAGACAGAGAACATTTTACGAAAACAAAATCATTGAACATGGCGTTCCTCGATGAAACGCTAATCACCGGCGGCTAATGAAGCTCGATAGTAGTGAAACGCTTTCATGGTGATAAAGATTCCTCTTTCAATCACCATTAGAAACTCATTATCTGACTGATCATTGACAACGAAGAGCCTCTGTAGGATGAACCAAAATGATTCCTAAACAACCTATATCAAGTATTCGATTTATGTTATTTACAGATTCAGAAAAAAAAATTGCTGAAAAATTTCTCTGCTTATTACAGCAATACTGTTTGGCTAGAACCAGCTACACCAATGGAGTAGTTGAACAGGACCCACACTCGAGCACAGCTTTGCAGCTAGGGTGACCCGAGTAGGAACGCCATGAGAGCAATCGAAGTGGGTATCGATTGTGCTCACAATCGATCCGTACTCTCATAATTTTAACTACCGTTCCCTTTGAGTTTTCGGCGCATGCTTTTCACTTCTAGCGCAAAATCGTGAATTCAACAATTAAACAAACTTTCAAAGTTGAAGTCCTGTGAGCAGCGCACAGCGTGCTGTACCGGTCACATCCAGTCTAGCTGTGCGCTGAACCTACGAATGCCGGCTAAACGGCAACATTTTTCGCATGTTGTCATAAACAGTTATTGATCACGAGAAGAAAGTTATACGTTGCTGCAACATATGCTACTAGCTGACATATAAAACATCCTAGTCGAAGCTCGAGCAGCCTCAGCGTTCCCAGGCATCAGAACAGAATTTCTTTGGATTTTGAACGGAAAACGGTAAGAGCTATGAACTCTTTGAAAAGAAAAATCAAGCGTCAAAGAATTACCAGTGATTGAGGTGATGGAATAGCTCGTATATGACCATTCGTTTCTCCCTATCTGGCCTTTTTGGCAGCACTTTGTGGTAGGCTGCCCAGAAATCACTTCCATATCCGCCAAACATGTTCATAATGCCTTGCTCAAATTCAGGATCACAAAAAGCACTTGCTGGGTCGAAAATCACTGAAGAAAATCAATAGCTTCACAAGGTCGAAGAATGTGCAGAAGAAAGCAGAGCGTTATAATGTAGTACAGCGCATTGCGGACTATTGTAGTTCCGTTTGAAAGCTTCTTTTCGAAAACTACATTCAATTACTATGACCGCACACTACTTTCGAAATTTCTTAAGCATGAAGGAAATCATTCCCAACAGAGCAATGCCATTCATAATTTAACAAGAATCACCTGGACCTTCGCTGGTGCTGGACCAATTGCCACCCCACAAATCCCCGTGCACCAAGGCAGGAACCACACCGGCACATGGCGCGAGAAGTGCTGTCACCTTCCTCTCCAGCTCCGGCCACACGGATAATATCTCTCTACTCCCTTTCTAAATATTGGACGAGATGAAAGTAGCCAACGAGGACAACCAGAAGCATCATGAAGGCTTTAATTCTATGATTCACCTGAATCAACAGATCAACCTGAACCTTCAATCGATTTCTGACAAAGAACGTCTGAAAAACGGGCTGTCTTTGAAATGAAAGGTCTAATCAAAAATTCACCAACCGCCCAATCATCACACCAATCATTTGGTTGAGGAATGAATCCGCAGCATGTCACTGTGTGGAATCCGAATTGCTTCACACCGTTTTTGTAGCTATCACCGCTGGCGGATCCACCCACAAAGCTTTCACTACGAGCAGATTCGTTAAGGCGGTCCTCATTATATTTGTGCATCCTGAAATCATTTGCAGTATAACAACAAAAATTCTCCAACGGTAAGATGCATCGTGGCGATTTCTATTTCTAGGAACAAACCATAGAAAAATGATTTCTCTTAGTTAAACGAGTCATGCATTTGTTTGACGACCTTGCCAATTGTGTCCCAAGTGTGACCAGGTCTCCACGATTTCCACCACCCATTTCGATGTATTCAGTGACCAGAGCCCATCCGTGAGCTGAAGCACAAAGGAAACAGTGAATACTTTCAACGCATCAGATTACTGATTATAAGAATAAAAGATTTCAACAAAAAAATACAAGATATGATAAAATAACGTAGTAACATGCGGAGATGCCATAGGAATAGGCAAGATCTGATCAGAGAAGATTGACTAAGGATCAAAATGAACAAACAATCAAATAAAACAAGGAACGGTAGCACTAGCATTACTGAAAGGTTGTGAAGGACAGCTCAAGGTAAACATTCGAAGTAAGAGAAACAACAGCAGAAAGCTAATCAATACAACGTTGGCTTATTCTACCAAGATGAACCCAAAGTAGAAGCACTGTAAATCTGACATATGGGAGCGAGTAAGGGATATAGCTTCCTAAAAATATTAAAGCCACACGTACCACCCAAATTCACCACATCGATCGGTTTCGGCACACGAACTGTATCTGTTTCATACATCGCTTTCAACGAGGCCATTTCACCACGGAACATGGTTTCAGACTGAAAACAGAAATGACGCTTCCAATTGAATTTTACTGTTTTCAAAAATTAATTAAACTAGTAACAAAACAATAAGTACTTAAAAGGACAGAGAGAAAGATGGAATGAAGGAGGGCAGTTATTTGATACCAAATATATTGCACTTAGCACTTATTTTGCCGCTCTACACGTTTATACCCATCACTCCTCTCCCATACCTTTACCCAACATGAAAAAACCGTAGAGAAACACCATATACGAGATTGATGACTGGGACGGTCAGCAACGCTATTCCAGGGCACGACGACAGGATGATTAGATGCGCCAAACGATAACTATGAAAATCAATTACAACCAGGAATGATGATTGTAAACTTACTCCATTTTTCCTGTTCGTCTTAACGAATATCTTCCCAAGAGACTTGGTTTCATAGCCCTGGCCAGTGTTTATACAACCACCTCCACCGCGACCATACGGTTTTACATCCTCGTTGAGACATTTTTTCAGTGCCTCTTCCATAGTTGTGCCAAAATTTCTGAAGAAACAATACGAAACTTCCGCATTGAACATTACTTATATGGGCTTTTTGAAATATCCGAAATCCGAAGGAAAAGAGCTTTCGATAAAAGCGAAAGGGGGAAAATTGAACGAGTTCTGGGGTTATTTTAAGAATTATATCGAAACAGAGAAATCATTCATACTGTACTGAGCATGCTTAATAATTTGCGCTATGCGCAATAACACTAATACCTGGCGACAGCGGACTCTATCCGGCTTGTACGAAACATCAGTTAGGTCACAAAAGCATTCCATTGCTCTAAAGAGAGATTACTAACCGACTTATAGATGTCAAAATGTGGAGTCCACGAGTGATCAAGGCTTGTGTGCCGAAAAGCTTGACCATCCAACAGCAACCGCTAACTTGGACACCGTGGGACACCCTCCGCCGTTAAACTAATCGCTGAACGTGCAAAGTGCAACGTTATTCGTTCTCCGCTTTTTTGCTGGCTGCAGCGCGCTGAACAATGATCAAGCAAGCAACTAAATTTACTCTGCATCCAAAACATATTGAATAAGTGATATGGATTGGATACCTCAGGAAACGGGGCCCCGCTGTTCGACACATCATTAGTACGTCCCTCAATTCAATGCACTCATGTAGCTTTGATTGAAGAAATATGAAGTGGTTTCTGTCACAAAAATCCACAATCACTGCCCTTTGGCTAATTTTCTTCTTTTTCTGAAAGAAATTGGGATTTTTCGGACAAAATAGATCTTTCGCACTGCCATGATCGTGGGAGTAGCGAACTCCTTTGGTCTTTCGTTCCGAAACCCTGCAGGTTCAGAGCAGTATTCAGAGCGGTATGGTGAGGGTCCGAACCTTCATAGCACGCAACGTCTGGCGTCACAACGGCTGCCTTCAGACTTCAACGATTCAACCGACGCGCGTCCGTAGCCACTTCTTGACAACACTAGAACGTGATACATCGGCATCCAATGCTGTCAACAGCTGACTAGCGCCGCCGTTGCTGGCACGCAAGTGACGGACGGACGAACGGACGCACCTCGGTTGAATCGTCGAAGCCTGAAAGCAGCCATACACTGCGCCTTTGTATGAAATTTGATGAGCGGAGGACGGCGAAGACGACAGAGAATGATGAGGATCCTCTTCACACCAGCTCTTAATGAAATGTAGAAGCTCAAGCTATTTCTGGCTCAGCCTACCATCTCGGTATCTCCATCGTTACCCGAGAGAATATCACTTTTTGACTCAGACTTCCACCTATACGAATTTATATCGAATCCAATAAATAATGTCGCAATAGATTGAACAGTATATTTCCAGCTGGCAACTGAGAACCTCGCACAAGACCTTCTCATAGGAATGCTCTTTATGCACACGTGTGAATACCGACCAGTTAACAAATATTAAGTACCATGTAACAAATTTTAGCACCAAACTCTATAATTACTGCATTATTTACACGAGTTGAAGAAAGCTTACAAATCAGAACTGAAGATGGGCAAAGAGCGGAAAGATAAGGGCTGGTTTCGAAACAGGCGACAAACTAACTGTATGGTTACAATCATACAAGAAAACTATATAATACAACGATAGCATAATTAACGATAGCAATCAATGTCCAATTATATGACAACCAAATGGCGGCTATGGAGTACCCAAGAAGTAAAGTCCAATCAGTAACTAATGATGTTCACAAAACACTACAACAAAATAGAGAGATGAACACGAAGTGTTTTGACAGCGCTCACCTTCCTCTTCATAGCGCGAAAACGGATGCGGCGAGCGCGACGCGATTTTCGGGGAGAAGTTATCACGCCCTGACGCCTCACATCTCTCTATTACAGACTAATAAAGACTAATAATGTACCGTGACCATAAAATACGACCAACCAAACGAAAATTCCATAAATGAAAATGAAAATTGAAACTAGCGCCACATTCCTATTGGAACAGGATACCATACAAGTTACCCTTCAACATAAGCTCCAGTAAAACTGTAATAAATGCCAATACACCAGAGGGAGGTAAGAAATCAGCTACAAGTAAAGACGAATAAAGTAGAAAATAAATACTAGTACGACTGGCAAAGGTGATAATAAAATGATTCTGGTATCGCAACTTGGAACACTAAGCTCATTAAAGTAAATGTAAGCGAAAAATTGACTAGGAATTGCGATCACAACGTTGAACAAACAAAAACACTGCCAATTCTGTCTATCGCGTCAGGACTAAAGCTTATTTTGCAAATTTGGCATAAAACCGCATGTGAGTGCTACAAATAAGCTACCCGGCTAAAAGTGAAATAGCTTAGAAAGAACAACTATGTTCTCTTGGACCGGGGACTTTTAGAATGTAAACGGGCAAAAATCTTATCTAGCCTGTTATTTGGGAATATTGTTATGAGCAATCTCTCCAGTAAAACATAAAGAAGTCGTCGATTAAGTTGCTTATTTTGTAAAGCGTTTGATATCGTATTGATACCGGTATAGGTAGTTTCTGCTCCTAAAATCAATCGTAATTCGTCCGGTAATGCCGACAACATGAGCGACTTGGCCAGGATTCTGGCTCTTGCTCGTGATTCTAATGATCGGGGTGGACTGTCACCGGCCAACTGACCATCGGGCCAAACCGAGTCTCTAAAGATATGATTATAACAAAACGGTACTTATTGATATGGATGGAGAGTTGATAGAAAAATTACCTTAGGGCTGTTAAATACATTGTGACTTGCTGTTCGCTAGTTAACCAATGTACGAGGTCTACAATCCTTTTGTTGATCGAAGTACCAAACGGAGTGACGAATTGGCGAAGAACGGTCACCTGAGCATAGGGGTTATTCAGGCAAAACCACCATAGCGCATTTGAAAGGGTAGAAATGAGTCGAGCGGTTCTTAGAATAACCTTAAAAGAGAAACTGGCTGTGGAAAAGTGATTTGTTCAAGGGTACAACTAGAAGTCAAGCAGTAAACACGCCGCATTGAATCGCGCTATTTGCCGTTCACCTATGCCTTCTCTCAACCTATTTTAGCAGGGACAAAATTCAGAAGTATCCATTGCCAAAGGGTGTTCACTTCTCTGTACTGGGTGTGTGTCAAGTCGTGCGTCCGAGGGTGCGCGCGGCAAATTGCGCGGCGAAGCTCGTGGCGAATTTGGACGACTCCGGCGTCTATCATCGGGGCCCAAATCCCAAGTAAGGTAGATTAGTAAGGTCAGCTGATCCTACTACTCTACTGTACTTCGAAACTGGGCCCCAAATAATAGGCGCCAAAGTCGTCAGAATAGGTATGGGTTTCGCCGCGCAATTTGCCGTGCGCACCCTCGGACGCACGACTTGACCGTCCCCACTCTGTACTACATCAGGTCCTCGCTTGACATACAAAAAAAGAGCCTACTCAGCAAGTACAAGAAACTTTGACAATCACAACTCTGATTCCAAGTCCGGCTATCGAAACATGTCGAAAATAATTCAAAACAATTAAAACTTTTGGTACTATTCCACTATTACAACCCCAAAAACTCAAAATTTTAATTTTCGATGAAACTTCGCCTTTAGGGTTAATCCGATGCCCTGATAACGAATATGACCTTCATATTTGGCGCTGGCGCCATTTGGCGCCAATTTGGCGCCGAGGGTGTTTTCACCAAATTTGCTGAAAACTTGCGTTTAGGGGTTAATTGAGGTCCTGTTAATGAATATAACATCCATTTCTGTGTCCTCAAACAACGAATAAAACTTTTATTGAACCACATCGTCTCCCCCACAACCTGTATGCCTTGTCGTCCCGCCAAATAGCCTCAGCGCGTAAAATGGATGTTACATTCGTTATCAGGACCTCAAATAACCCCTAAACGCAAGTTTTCAGCAAATTTGGGAAAACACCCTTGGCGCCAAATTGGCTCCAATTGGCGCCAAACGGCGCCAGCGCCAAAAGTGAAGGTCATATTCGTTACCAGGGCATCGGATTACCTCTACAGACGAAGTTTCATCGAAAATGAAAATTTTGAGTTTTTGGGGTTGTAATAGTGGAATAGTACCAAACTTTTCTTCTCCATAGTCGGCGCAAATAAAATGAATAGAAAAGCTCGGAAAATCATACCATTTGACGGCGGAACCATGCGTTTCGAGCTCGCACTCCAAAAACCTCATCGACAAATAAAACGAGAACGCGAAGTGGAATGTTATCGGATGTTGACTCCTTAAAAAACGTGAAATTAATTTGAAGAAACTAGTTCGTACACAGTAGCTACATCTGCATTACTCGTAATACAGCTAAAGTGAACATAAGCTATCAGTAATAAAAGTAATGAAAAACCCGAAGTCTGTACTGGAATGTAACAACTTACATCGTCTGTTATAGCAGCAGCAACGCGGTCAGTATCAATCACAGGCGCCCTTGGACCCCCATTCAACGGCTGCTAAAATTCGAATAAATAGACAAAAAGCTCATAGAAGGGCCGAAAACTCATAAAAGTGTAGCATACTCACAATTATAACCTTGGCAGCGTTATTGATGCCAGCCCCAACCTTCGAAACTCCACCGTATACCTAGGAAGGTTTCGATACAATCACCAAATTCAAGGGTATCAAAATTATTGCTTCACCTGATCAGGAACAGACAATACTGTATTGCCAACTGCTTTCACACTCATTTTAATCGGATCAAACATTGCAGACATCACCTGGAAAATAAGTGACAATATAAGAGGGAAAGTTCTAATTTCACTGAAGCTAGAAACGTCGAAAATATAGTAATAGCGATCGTAAGTGGGACTGTAGTTACCTTCCTAGCGATTGGTTCTCTGTTTCCTTGATATTCCTTCTGACTTAGGAAATCAAAGAGAATACCATCTAGTTCTGGATACGTTTCCACCATCGCAGGTTGCAGGACACACTCCAGGAACAAATTTAACGCCTGCAATGCGATCACGAACCTAGTTATTCGCAGGTTTGGAAGAAGCGGTGAGCTAAACGTACCTTGGTTCTTTTTTCAAGAAAATGAGCGTCCAGGTTGTTGAACGTCTTTTTTCCAGGAAAAGAGAGATTAGAAAGCTTGGGATACTTAAAACAATGAGTCTTGAGAAACAGCAAAAGTTCCTTTCTGGACAGGTAACTTACCTTGTGAACAATGAAGGCGTGTAGCGTATGGAAATCACTGTATCGACGTAAAACATTCCACCCACTTACTTTCTTCCCATTTACTGATCTACTCACACGTACATTGTAGAGAGCAAACGACTGCTTACCCTTGAATTGATCAAATCAGAATTTGAACATCTTAGTTTTAAATTAAAAAGTATCACAGAGATAAGCGAGTGCTAGTTTTTTTACCTGGAATCCGATACCTAAAGTCTCCACAATCGCTGTCGTAACTGGTTTTCCATCATTGATCATCTCTTCTTCTACTATCTAAAAGTAAAAATGAGTGCACAGCTAAACAAAAGATTGGAAATCTCCCCATGAGAAAGAGGGCAATTTTCGACAGCCTATAGTGGCGAAGGAACAGTGAGCGAAAGAAATACGTACTTCTTTAGCCAGCGGACGTTGTTCATGGTCAGAAAGAACCGAGTATGCGGAACCAGTGTCAGATGCTGGTGTTTCCGGCCTCTCTTCGTCTCCTGTTATGCCCAACTCAGCAAGCATTTTCGGATATAATGGATTCTTCTTGAAACCGGGATAGAAATGCTCATCGGTGCGCAGAATTTCAACCACCTGAAATTTTGTAAGGACTATTAGTAAAAGTAATATAATAGTGCCAGCATTCGGCATCACAGATAATGATTTTATCAGCTCAAAATTTTGCTTTGTTATCGGAAATAGCGACTGCCACGGGATTGCAATGGAAACTAATTCTATTGTTCCTAGTGACCTCTTCAGCTTACTTTTTCTTGAATCTGCTCGAACCAGTAATCACAAGGCTCATCACTTTCGATCCGGGTGAGGAACTTGGAAATGATGCTTTCATCCAAAGGAACTCGCGTGATTGCCTGAATCAGTAATTGTAATATCACAGATAGTCTTTCAATAAGTGTGATCACATGAGAGCACCCACTTCTTGTGACAAGTACTGCTGATACATGAATTGTGCTGCTTCCTTGATCGTTTCGTGGACATCATCCCCGACCGTTTCCCCATTAGAAAGCGTTCTCAATTGGTGTTCCACAGACACTTTGAAACCCTTCAAAAACCATTAAGTAATGGAACGGAAACTCAGTCGACTTTGCGTTTTCCTTCTTATTCACAGAACGAAACTATCTCTCGTGCAATGATTTTTGGCGGGTTGCATTGCATCACAAACTAGTCTACTTGTTGAACGAATAGCACAAAGGTAAGTAGAACACACCTCTATGGCTAAATAAAAGTCTATATAATTTTGTCCACCGACGGTCTGAAGATAGTCAATGAAATATGAAACTGCGACTCCATTTGTCAGCACTACGTGAAGAGGAAGCTGCACTAAGCCATCGTCATTTGAGATGACACGGGCCTAAAACAAGAACATAACCATGTATCCATCATTCATGAATCCTTAAAGTTAAACCACAGAATAATCTTTTACAGCAGTAACAACACAACGTATGACAACATGTAAGGCGAGGTTTCACCAGAAATGCAAGTGGCATTAGAGTAAACATGAAGTAGAGAGAGCCTTTTGGAAAAACAAAAAGAAATAGAAAGAAGCTTCGAAAAAGAAATGATAATCCTCACCACATCTAGACCGCCGCTGTCTACGGTGTTGTTGGTCAAAAGAACTAGCTTCTTCCTTATGAGGCCATCAACGAAATCTAGACTGCTTAGCTGTTGTTTGACGAAAACGCCTGGAAAAACAGGAGTTGAAGCCATAGTAAAGCGATCATTTACAGAAGAGACAGATTATATAAATATGTCGGCTAGAAGAACACGCGAATCTTTCTCACTCTTTCGTGATTATTCGAAGCTTTAAAGCCACTGGAAAGACAAGATTAACTTGACGAAGTTTTTAACCTTCGAATGTTGACAAGCTTGCAAGTATGCTATCCTATAGAGCGATCTGCTATGCACCTTAGAAGAAGAACATAATCACATGAAGGGCCATGTGAAACACCTAATAAAGGGTACAAGGCCGTGCGTCTTCTACTTCTCCCTGCCTATTTTAGTACCTTTTCTATCACTTTCCACAACCTGCTCAGAAAGTGGAGACGACGGCCCATTTTGATGTTAATTGGGAGCAACTATGGGCTATCCCAAGTCCATGCAATTTAATGCCTGCGACAATGACATTATCCGAAAACACCGCAAAGTAGTTGCACTTCTTGTTTTTATGAACCAACGTTCCACTGGCAGAAGAAGCTAGCATGTCTTGACTGCGTTGTTCCGAGTTGAACCTCAGCCAAAACGTATGTGATGTAGATATAAAAAGGAAATCTGGGGTTATCAAGACTAGGCAAAAATCTATGGCTTAAGGCTATAGTCAGACTGAGAGGCTAATTTACCGCTATTTCACAAAAACGCGAAAAGTAAATGAGACAAGAGCAAATTTCACCTTGTTCACCGCCGGAATCTTTCCCACGCAAAACCATCTTCTCATCCTGCACCGACTTGTACACTGCCTCTAGTTCATCAATGGAAACACTGTTTTCCAAACACGCGACGAAGTCATCAGGTCGCGGTGAGATTTCGCTCAACTGAATTCACAAACAAGATGAAAAACGACAAGGAACAGACTAAAAGCTGTGCTCAAAACGTACGAGTCTGATGAGAATTTGATTCATTTCGTCAGGTTCAGAAAAGTGGTCAAGAAGAGGAATAATAATTCTTCGCACTGAAACATATCGGGTTTGAAATTCATGCAAAGATATAAAGATTTCTTCGATTCAATATAGCCATTCCATTCAGTATAAGCTACCTTCGATAGGAAAGCCAAACGATTACTTTTTATTAGTCTCTACTAACACCTACCAATTATCTCCCGAAGTAGAAATCTCAGCGGCCTGCAACGAAAATCTTCAGGCGGCATAATAAGATAGAGTACAATATCAACGACATCGTGAAGATACGCTGAAAGCAACGGATTCCTTTATCTCGAACTAACTAAATTTGTGTGTCCGAAGGAAACGTAACGTAAATATACAACAAAAGAGAAAAGAGAGAAAGGATGATATCCTATAGCACCAGCTTCCAGAAATACTATGTTCGAACACGTAAAAGGTCAGCTGAACTATTTCGCCACCCTCAGAAAAATGTACGATCGAAACGGAATGCCTACCGTTCTCATAGTGCGGTGTTGTGCACAAAAGGTCCCGACAAATCGTCTTCTCCATCTCCAATTCAAAATCGAAAAAATGGCTCAATAGGTCATTCTCCGAAGATGGTATTCCATCTGCAAACGGACCATTCAGAATGCAAATGCAGCCAATAGAGAGAGGATAGACGGCGCCCTAATGCCTTTCCAAGTGATAGAGTTCAAGGAAAAAAGCCACCTTTCTTTCCCATGTACTTGAACCTTTCGCTGGCCATCCGATATAACCTAAGATGGGAAGCGAAATCGTCAGCAACATGGCGAGTAATAAAAGGAACCCAATCCACTTGACGCATGCTGGAAAAGTAGCGCAAAAAGTGATTGGTAGTCAGTTGATCAAGAAATAGTCCAATTATACTGACCACTGCGAAAGAGATGACACAGAACGTCGTGCTGTTCTTCTTAAACTCTCTTTGAAAAGTTCGTCGTCTGTCAATTTTTTGTACCATGAATCAACATAGTCACGCATCACAAAGGATAACATCTGAAGCATAATATTAATATTTGCGGATATTTTATGTCCCACAGAACTGGAAATACTTTTAAAAAAAGAACTCGGAACGACGAACTAATCGAAAAATTCTTGACAGTTTCATCATTTTGCGAACTCATGGTTTCTCGAATTTCACTCCTGATTTGGCATTCTTCTCACTTCTTTTCACTACCAGCAGCTCTAAGAAACTGTATCTTATTAAAGAAGATTTCTGAATCGTCCATATAACAGGTCCGCACTAATAAATCCACAAAATGAAAGCTTTTTTTTNTTTTTTTTCCGAAATTCCAGAAACGATCTCTTTCGTCACGTCTGCTGATCACATTTTTCATTCCAACAAACCTGTTTTGAAGGAAAGAGTGCGACAGAGACAGACAGAGTACAATTTTGGGTCGATTCTAATACTTGTCTTAAAAATGTTCCCGGAAAAGAAACAAAAGAAAGTTTACGGCCGCACCTGTTCGAGAACAGCATCCATCGACTGGCAATTTGTCATCGAATGTATTTGTTCATACATAGATTTATCACTGAAGCGATTCTTATTTCTGAGAAACATCGCGATACCCGGTGGAAACTTGAAATCTTTGAGATTTGTGAAATCAGAGGCCAGCTCCTTCGACTTGTCCTCTCCACGAGTATAAATAACATAACAAAACCTGAAACCATCCATATCTAATACACACACGAAAATGGTGGCATGAACTTAAGAAGTTTCCGCTGAATATCAAATTGAGTTTAAGGCACAATTTTTTACACTCTGATATACAAAGGGGCTTTCATATCTGCTATCCTTCCTATATTTGGAGATAGGGAAAGGTAAACCGCGTCGGTCTGGCGGTTTGTTGTTTGCCTGTACCTGTGCTTCCGCAAAACTTCCCATTATTGTGATAATGATAGTGATATGGAAAACCTATCGCCAACTCAGTGGCAACAGATAGGAATAAACTCAAACTTATGTAAGTGTAAAGTTATTGATAGCGCTTGTCAGCACAGTTCACAACATAAGGGTCTAACGCTTCGCCACGACTATCAAGATCGATTGGTAGGGTTGATATCGATTCGTGCCGTGATCGAATGAGTAATCATAACTAGACCCATTTCTGCTGTAGAGCGACTATGTAGGTTGGTAAGTGATAATGTAATGGAGGACCCAGAACTGAGTTACCGAGGGTTCTGACACACACACACTTCAGGACTATTACATACCAGCAAATTAAAACCTTCTATTCTTCACAGGCACCAACGGCTTGATTGAGACTGCCTTCTTCGCTCATCAATTCTGGGGCCTATGTTTGTCAGCGTATTTTCCACATGTGCAATGGAACACTGGTGTGTAAATAAAGTATCCAGTATATATGAACCACTCACCCGCTAACGAAGCACAATATGCAAATAAGAAAGACGAATAGCCCATTGAATCCAAATGTTCCGAAGAATAAAGCAATACCGAGTACTGAGTAAAACTGAGATGATCGTGATATCATCCCTATCGAACGAAACGACGCCACTTTAGTTCGTTTACATCGAAATTACAATACCTGGAATATGATAAATCTTTGTGAAAAGTATAATCAAGTAATTAATAGAAACGTGGTCAAAGCATAATGAAGATACAACACCGCTTTATGATGTCCCAGAATCTTCGGCAAGGGAGCCGAAATTGCAAAAAATCTGGCATGTGGCTGATTCCAAATAGAAAGCAACAAATTAAGATGAAATCGAGGAAAATTGGGGAGATACCATGAAATTCATTACTCAACGTAGAAATCGATAGACGACAAAAAAGTTACCGACTTAGAAACGTTTTCTGGAGCGAAGGATAACTGAGTATTGATTAAAAGTTTTCAATAATTCAGGTAATTAGAAAGCACGGACACATTGTCATTGGCAATATAGCAGACGAAGTGGCGGCGGCTTCTATGAATCACATGGGCAAAGGGAAGGTGGGCGGAGTCGGTCGTCCCTTCAACGGGGAAATGGTTTGAATATTTCATAGATATGCTTGCCTGTCATGACAACAACACACTAGAGAGTATCATGCCTGAAATGCAAAAAAAACATAAGTCAATGGTCTTATGAAATATTTAAACTGTTGATTAAAACGAAACGGATATATCGGGGACAACAGAAACAATGCTCGTGTTCTTTACAGCATAGCAGCTTGCTCCAGAAAATGCCACGTTACGAGAAATATAGGCTTTGCAATGGTAGAGTTGTTCGGGTGTAGTATGGCTGTGTTCAGACTTTGCGTTGGCACATTGCTGGTCATACCTGCCTAAAGCCGCCGATCGATAGTTCCACTGAAGGGTCATTGGCGAAGGGTCAACGCAAAGTCTGAATGCAGCTTATCATGCAACAGGAAGTGGTCGCAGTTCAGGGTTGATTCGAGCATGGGCAGAGAACCGAAGTTGTCATTCAAGGTGTTTTCCCGTTTAATAAAAGGGTGTTATTCGCACAAAGTGGATCTTGCCGCTGATCGGGAACCTATTCCAAGTCACAGCTGGGAGTCGCGGATAAGATAGGGATGATTTCAACAGGAAAAAGTATCGAACAAATAAAAAGCAGTACGAATACTACGAATGAATCCATCGCCTCATAACAGCCAACTCAACCGCATACCCTCTCAGTAGCTGAGTGATGTCATCGTGCATAGCTGACGTCATGAGGATATCGAATAAAGGGCATGCGGCCACACCCATCGCCGCCTTCCCAGCATATTAGGTAAAACAGCTAAGGGTGTAGAAAAACGATCGGGTAGATGGAGGGAGCCCGCATCAGAAAGGTCCATGTCGCACTCATGGAAGCTACTTTTGTAACGAAGGACCGTATTTTTATTACAATTTTTTCTGATAGAGAAGAAAATGATTTGAAGTGTTGGTGGGTAGTTTATTTGATGTCCTCTTGGTACGGTAAATTTTATGAATACAAAATAAGTTTCCATGGGCCAATTGAGAGATGAGAAAGAAGGAAGTCAGGCAAACTAGACGACACCTCACTCGTTTACTTAACAGCATTGAATAAGGAAAAAGTTGGCAATAATTCCACACATTTGAATGACGAGTTTCAGAGTTCTTCTGTAAACAGATACCTTGAAAGGACAACAACTTTGACGGAATTTGGACAAATTATAAGGGGGAAAGGGACACCTAGGTCCAAAATTTCTAGCAGTCAGCAGCAGTCGAATTGTGTATTCGTTCGGGAAAATGCCGTACTGTGAAGTAACAAAACTATCATTAAGGTATTGAGGTCTGATAGATTGGCAGTTTTCGTGCTCCAGCGAGAATGGCGCTGCGCAACCGCTCGCTGTTGGCTATGGTCAAGTTTTCGAATCCATGTTGCAAATGACGCTAATCATTTGTCGTGTCGTGTGAGGTTTTGAGGTCGCTCTGTAGAGCTTTAGGGTTGTTTACTACTAATATGTTTTCTTTGAATATTGTTTCTCATAGTTTAACACAGTAGCAAACCCAGGACACCAGGACAACGTTAGTCCTAAGTAAGTTCAATTAAGAACTCTATCCTATCAAGTTTGTGCAGATAACGTTGGGCATTTTCTGTAATCTAGACCGATTGGCTTCGATTTCTTTGGTTTTTGAGGTCTTATTCAATTCTGAATGCTCATGTCTTCCCCTGAGAATTGATCTTCATTTTTGTTTTCTTCCTCTGTAAATGTGCGTTTTCTCCATGGATGTTTTGCCATTGGATTGTGAGGTAGCGTTCTTAGCTCTGTCTGTATTCAGCTAAATATTATTCGACGTCATTTCTGAATATTGAAATTGGAAAATGGGAATCGTCTTCTAGTCTTTTCCCTATTAATGTTAACATTCGTCGGTATTGGTGCACCCTCTTGGTTGTCGCGTACCATATGAGCTTGAAATTTACCTCTCAAAATTTCAGACAATGACCTCTGTAGGTGTACCAATCAAGATCTTGCACGAAGCCGAAGGCCATGTTGTAACACTTGAAACAGTGACGGGTAAGTTTCATTGTCTTATTTAGTGGTTTGTCATGAAGATGTTAAATCTGCGAGGATCGTCAAAGAGTAGAATAAGATAAATTTCGTCGCCTTTCCTCTGTTTAGTAGTGTTAAGCATGAATATATGAGCGCTGACCATGCCTTTCGCTGTGTCGGTGGTCCCTCCAACTTGTAGACATAGAAATCCATAAAAAGCTTGAAAGTATACAATAAGGCATTAACTTTAAAGTTGACATCCTTAATACTTTCTTTTTCAGTTTCTGTTGTCAACTGCAGGGAACATTATTTTTAGAAATTTGTGAGATACAGACCCCGCAAGATTGTGTCCGGGTCTTTGCTTTATTTCGCGCAATCCTTTTCAACATTTCGTGTTTGCATGGCACCGTTTATCGCATTACTTTGTTTGAAACAGAAACACGCATGCCCTATGACGCTAATTCTAGGGAATTCTTAGACATTGGAAAGACCATAGCGCTTTTCGATAGGCCATAAATTGGTTTTAACCTGAATCACTGTAAAACTCCCTATCAGAAATGTGACATAGTCCACAGCAGTTCACTTCTCTCCACTGTACTTGATCAGTAATATTTCAGGTGAGGTATACCGAGGTAAACTTCTTGAAGCAGAGGATAACATGAACTGTCAAATGGCTGAAGTATGTGTGACATTCCGAGATGGAAGAACTCATCAGCTGGATAATGTTTTCGTTAGAGGGAATAAGGTTAGCTTCATTACAGTCAAAAATTGTTTGTTTTAAACGCCAGACTGGTCATTACTGTCTTTTGCAGACTTTTGGAAATCATTTTTATTGCAGATTCGTTTTATGATCTTGCCGGATATGCTAAAGAACGCCCCCATGTTCAAAAATATTGGTCGAGCTCAGAAGGTAAGCACTGATCTATTTTGCAGTGATCGTAAACGAATGCTATGGTGGTTTTTGTGAAAAAAGGCAAATAAGATAGTTATTTTAAACCTTTATTGAAATTCGTATGTCAGCCGTCACAATTTTTAGGGAGCCATTGGTATGGGTATGGGAGACAACGTTCGAGGAGGCGGTCGTGGTGGTAGAGGAACGTCATTCCGTGCAAGGTAGCTTCCTTTTCTGTCTAACAAATTGAATTTTTGCCATGTAATATCTGTTGATAATTCAGAGACGAAAATGGTTATTTCAGGGGCGCCGGCATGGCACGAGGTGGTGCACGTGGAGCAGTCCGTGGAGGTCCTGGCGGCTTCCGCGGGTAGGCAATCGGCAACCACTGCCAATAATGGCCGACTTGGGTTTTTTCTTCTTATCCGTTGATGTGTTGACTACTGTCGTTCTAATTTGTTCGTCGGCGATCTCTGATCATTCATTCATTGTTGTATCATTATTATTTGTTCTACGTTGTTAACGATTATGGAAGAAGTAAAAGAGAGGTCATTGTAGTGTTATTTCGAACTTACTTCACGTTGGAAAGTTGCCTATATGTGAACACGAATTGGTGCTTAAATTTTCAAAACCATTCTGTATATCCAAACCACTAAATGGCATCGTCGCGCATCCGTATAAGGCCTTCAGCTTTGCATGTCAGTTAGGCACAATCCAGATGTTGCGGTGGTTCATAGAATTCGAATAGTGAAAATGGAGTTCTACAGAGAAATATAGGCTTTTTAGCTAAGGAACGAGATCAAACAGGAATCGTTAGCTGCTTGATGAGGAAGGATGGAATGCTCGGGGTGCTGGAGGCAGTCTGGGAGGGCTAGACTTTCTCGAGAAGTTGGCAAAAAACGGAACCTCACTCACCCTCAGAATGTGGTGGCGTTCTTTCTGTTAGTTCCATATTTACGGTGTTTCAACTGTCGTAGGGTCGGCTTACGTTATAACGGGCCCTAGCTATATTTAGGAGGCCAGGAAAGGAATGAATGTTTGGTCTACAGTTTATTCTATGACGGTTTTTTCTTTTTTTATAAAAAAAATCTCAAGGAGATTGTTCAATGGCATTCACACAGCACAGGTCGCTGTTTGTGGGTATTAAATGCTTTTTGGGAACAAGCGAGACAAATAGTGGGCGGGTAATTCTCGTCGAGAGCTATCATTTGCTTTTAATTGCTGCTAAATTTATAGGAAAGTGCTGACTTGTATGTCAGTTGGTGCCTATTACATATTGCCCACATTTGAGAACGGGAAATCATCAAATGCATGGCGCATTCCGCATTCCGCGCATGAGCAACATTAGGAAGTAAATTTCATTTTTCCCCTTTCTAGGCGAGGGAGTAAATTGAAGCAGCTGCTATGCAAAGCGAGACCACCTGATTCAATGACATTGTTTAACCCTTAACGACATGCTCTAAATAGTCGGAGATCGAAGAATTCGATTAGATTTCTACTGGTTATTACGAAACTCTCTAGTCGCAGCACTGTTTTTCTCGCATTCCAAATGCTGAAAAATTCCCGAAAATGGCCATCCATAGCGCTGTACTTCATATTTATCACTGCTCTCATGCGCAAGATGTACCATCTGCTTCCAGTAAGTTGTGATTCCTTACTTTTTGGTGTTGGCATCGGCTTCGCAGTTATTCTATTACTTTGCTCTGACCAAAACACTTTGTTGCGGGACAAAACGAATTAAATGAAGCTGATCAATTGTGTTTTTTGAATGCGTCCCGCATTCGACTTCCATTCTGAATGGTAGTGGTAGATTGAATGCGTATGTGGCGTGTAAAATGGCTTGCGGTGGCCAGCTCATGTACAAGTCAGCGCTTTTATCCCTCCCAGACGAGCCTGGTACCAATTAATTGACCCCGCACGGATGGAAGGCCTGTTTGGCATAGGCGGATGTAAATACGGGATTCGAACCCGTTACCAAGTGTGTATGATTGTGCGCCACTTGCCACTGAACCACCTCCGGCCAGCTCTTTGAAAGATCGATAAAATCGTTGTTATAGCTGACATGATTTCGGGTAGCCCACCGCAAGTCATTGCATAGGCCACATACGCATTCAATACGCCGCTACGATTCTGAATGGAAGTCGAGTGCGGGGGCGCGTCCCTCAGACGACTGTTAACTCCTCAAAACTTTATCCGTCACTTTCCGTTAAGTTCTGTACACACAACTATACTTGTATTCAAATTATGGAACGCTTGGGGCTGAATTGCCTATACGTATAACACTATGATTGGGGATACCTGTTCATCTGCCATTTTAGGAGCTCCGTAAGCCCGACGTGGTCTATGACGTGACGACGCATTGTTATCATAAATACTGGAGACTTTTTACCTATGAAAATGCAGGTTTTCAAAGTATTTTGCAATTATTTAATTTTTTTGATTGAAAATAACAACGGCTCTAATTCAAAAAGGTGAAACGAATGAGAATCAAATGAAGGCTTTGAAAAAGAAGTAGAAGAAAATGAAATGAAAGCCATAATGCTACTTGGGTAAAGCAAAGCAAATGCAAAATAATCTAGCAGGAATTTAGTAGATCTAATGGCCAGTGAATTACTAGTGGTTGTCCTTCTCTATTGGAGTGGAGTGACTATACTATTGGTCTCGAACGCGAGCATACTATGACGTCATTGTCACGCGGCGCGCGACGCTCCTCGTAAATCAATAATTACCGCGACAAAATTCTCCCCCTTAAATCAAAATAAATAATCAAAGAATATTTCTATTTTGCTTAGTATGTCTGAAAGTCTGAGATGTCTGAAAGGATCGCCATTCTAGCTGATCATTACTGATTATTTCGATTCAGTTCATCAATACGATGCCATATATTTCGGAACGCTGTGCTCCATTATTTAGCCAGATGAACGTTTATCGTTTTGGAGACGACGACGACTGGCGGTACAGTATGCTACCATTGGCAGTGGTTCGTTATTTTTTATACTAATGGGTCAGGACATGAAAGTTGCTTTGAACCCTGTGAAGCTGTTACTCAAGGGTGTGTCTGGCTTGGACGCGCGCGAGTGCGGCGCGTTCGACCTGAGTACAGGGTCGATCGATTTTTCGCATGCAGTTTCTTAAACATTTTGGTTCTTCATCGTAATTGCCGTGATAATGCTGTATTTAGTCTGAAGAGAAGCCTTGTTATGCGTTCGTCTTCGTTGGCTTTTCACATGGACTTACTGTTGAACTGCAGGCAATCTTTGATCTTTGAGCGCTCACTGTCCGTTTATGGTCAGCTAAAAAACTGTCCAATTGCAGATCAAGCGAAGCCTGCTGTTAGACTGCCCGATGATTGGCGTGGATCCGACCAACAGCGACACGGCTCACGAATTTTCCCTTGTAAATCATTCTCCTATCCTAACATTTTTGCATACGAAAAGAAAAAAAAAACGGCTGACTGACTATAAAATTGTGATGATTGATAACTAATGATAGTTCGTGATAAATAAGTATCCTTTCAGAATATCGGAGAAGTTGAACAAGAAAATCTAAATTCATGGAATGGCATGAATGAAAGAAGTTTAGCAAGTCTTGTAGCCTTCAGCTTAGAGCTAAAGGTAGGTAGGTCTTTTTGGTTATTTTGATGTTTATATATTTATATGCATATAAAATTTTTGGAACATTGGTTTTTATATACTTATTTATTTATCCTTCCTTATACTTATATGTATCTTATATTTATATCTTGAAGTTTGAATCAGTTTTATGATGTTATCTTTGAAATAAACTTCCAGATAATCTGGTATTTTTTATTTGTATATTTGAATAACTAGTAGGCTCGTTTTTGTTGATAAATTGCAAAAAAGAAAGAAATCAGAGAATTTTTCGGGTACTAACTCCCATGTATAGTTAGATATAAGTATGCTTCCTTCTCCTTTTCGCCACCTTCTCAGACGGTAAATATGTATGGGAGCAATAATTTTGAGAGGGGTAAAGAGCCTGGCCTCGCATAGGGGGTGGTACCGACGACCTGACGACCCGTGTCTTTCCCTGGCTTCTTCTACCCTTGTGTCAAATACGAGACCGAGCTCACATAAACAATTCAAGCTTACCATTCTTTCTGGGACATCTAACAAGTACGAATGTCTAGGTTCTGGAAACACTGCTTTGTTCTCTTTTTTTGATTGATTTTTGTTTTATGATTTTTTAAAAGTATTTCCTTGAAATTTAGTTCAAGAACTAGGTCTATGATTAATAGAGTAATTAATGCCCCTAAATTGAGAAAATCGAAGAAATTCCAGCAATCTCATGCAGCCATCATAGCCGAGCATGTGTTCGTTACTGATTTGGACGACGTTTATTCATTTCTACCATATATGCTTGATGATATCGGCCTTGCAAAATATATTGTTCCTTGCCAGGTACGGCATTTGGAGCAAATTTACTAAACAGAGGAAAATTATGGGCGAGTTCGGGTTATGAGCGAAGCCTGGAAGTTTAAGAATGGAATTTTGTCATTGCAGGGGTTATTTAGCAGTTTCTATATCTGATGATCTGGTTTAAGCGTTATTTTAAAGGGAGTAGAAATAAATATTAGACAATAAAATAAGTAATGTAAATTGAAAGACTAAGCTGATGTAACGTTGACTGGTGCTACACAACACAAGCTACAAAAATTAGTTCAAAGTAGTCAATCAGATCACTGTTGACCATAGATCCATTTCTACGTCGATGCGGCTCTAGCGAGTACATAGTACCCATCAATACAGTGTAGGTTACAGCTTGTTGGAAGATTATGACCCTACCAACCAGGTGGTGAAGGGGCACCCAGGAAACAAGCTTTTACCTCTCCTTTTACCCTTTCAGTCATACGACTTCTTCAGCAGCTAGTTCGAAGTGTCCATACTTTTGGATTTATGGAAGAAGCCAATGCCGTTTATTTAATACAACGTTTTGGAGAAAAAGCATGTAGTTAACCTTATATGCATTAATTAATTAATGGCTAGTTTCAGCTCACTGTGGATTTGCCATTTCCGCATCCACGACAGCTTCAGATTTTCGTCAATTTTATACGCCGGGTTATCGACGATGAACTTTACACTATTCTATCGGTACTTCGAGTCGATGACAAAACGAGGTAAAAAAACTTTCTGAAAGAAATATTTTCGAGGGATTGGAACTGGATAATGCCAGGTGCAACAATCCCACATAGTTTTTCCGATTTCCAAAGATATATTCCTTTGCTGCATCAGTACTTGCCATAAAGTGTAGGTATCGTAGGTAGTGTAGGTAGTGTAGGTAAAGGGAAGAGAAGTACTCCATTCTGCTCAAGTACGTATTCCTGCCCTTTTGATGTTGAATAGGGCCATTGGGGTAG